ATATCGTATTTTACCATTCAAAATTAGCATTTTTTATTTTTTTCCTTTTATAAAGCTTTATTTGGCAACTTACTTAAATTACAATAAAAAAGACTTCATAAAAAGCTTTTGTTTTATAAATTTTTCACGGTAAGTCTCTGAAAATATTATTATTGGTTTTTTTTAACAACGCAAAATAAAATATACATATGTATGTATAAAATCATTGTATATTCAAATATTGACATTTTGTACAAACATTTTTATATCCTCATACCACAGATGTTTGTATTCTTTTTCCTTTTTTTTTTTTTTTTTTTTTTTTTTTTTTTTTGTTTGATTCATGTAAAGCTTACTCCGCACAAAGACCCGTGGTCCTATTCTGATAAGATAATGTATCAATATTTATTTTAGTCATAGTTGCTCAGCTTATAATCTCATATCATGCATATATTTATGTATGTATGTCTATAAAAAAAAAAATTCTGTGCTATAAATATGCATATTTGTACATAATTTCACGCAGAAAAAATATTTGCACTACTATGTACATACAGACGAGGGGCTTAATAAAAGTTCGGTCTGTAGATGCCTTTAAATTCGTTGCTGTTAAATCTAAAAATACCAAATCCTTTGTACTTTGCTTTTACTGCAGCTTTGGTGAAGCCCAAAATTGACGAGGGCCCACGATTGATACAACAAATGATTATTGAATTGAATTGGGCTTCAATGTCATGGCTGTATCGCGAATTTTAAGTAATCATCTGGGATACATGGAGAAATCTGAATGATGGGTAACGCGAATTTTAATTGAGGCCCAAATAGAAGCTCCAGTGCATTTTGTTAAATTTTTCCTAAACAAACTATATGTACGATCCAGAAACTAAACAGCACTTAATGGGATGGGGCCCAATAGAAGCAAACCGACTCGTCAAATCTTAGCAACGAAAATCAGCAGCAAAAGTAATTATGCCAGTTTACTTCACCCGATCTATTGATCGTAGCTGATAATCCACTTGAGAAGGCTCCAGACGGTGTCTGCAAAATGGTACACCGGAGAGTGCTTACCAAAAGTTTTCAAATATTTTTTAGAAAAACGGAAAGAAAGAGCATTTGCGGCGCAACTTTTTACATCGGAACAAAGCGCCATTCATTACTGCTCAAATAATGTGTAATTTATTACGATCTCTGGTATTGAAGAAATACGTCGAGCACCATAATTGCCGGATATAGCACTTTGTAATTTCTGGTTGTTTCTAAGAATTGTAAAAAAGCTGAAGGGAAAGGTTCTTAACAGCAACGACGAGATAATTAATGCGGTTAATGCTGAACTTGATAAGCTTTTTAGCAAGATTTTGAAGACTACTTTTAGAAGTGGATCTATAGGCTTAAGAAATGCACTTAGATAAATGGCGATTATGTTGAAACGAAAAAAAGGGCAAAGATTACAAAAAAAAAATACATGAAGAATTTTTTAATTTTTTTTTTTAATTCTATTTTTTATTTTTTTCTGATCAACTTACCGAACTTTTGTTATTCTTACATACTCGTATTTTAAATAGATAATATAAAAACAACTTTCAAAACCATATATGTATGAATTTATTATATTTATCAGCAGTGATTATGTGCACATATACTATATGTATGTATAAATTAATTATTTTGACAAAATTATCAATAAAATATATTTCTTTGTCATGACCTGCATTAATATGTGCATGCACAAGTGCATTAGGTAAATATATTCACCAGCGTAATTTAATTTATTTATTTATTTCTTTTTTTTTTGTAAAAAGTTTCAAAATTTCATTCAATTTTCAAACATAGTATAACATTAGTTCAGTAATCCATTACTTACTTTACTGGCGTAGACACAGCTTACACGATTATAGCCGATTTAACCATATTGCGCCATTCGTTTCTTCGTTTTGCTGTTTGCCGCCAATTGGAAATACCAAGTACAGCCAGGACCTTCTCTACCTGGTCTTTCCAACGGAGTGGGGGTCTTTCTCTTCCCCTGCTTCCACCGGCTACATCGAAAACTTCTAAAACTGGAGTATTCGCATCAATTCGGACCACATGACCTAGCCAGCGTATAACTCATACAGCTGATCGTTCCATAGTCTGCGATATTCGCCGTTGCCAAAGCTCAAAGGACCAAAAATCTTACGCAAAACTTTTCTCTCGAAAACTCCTAACGTCGACTCACCAGATGTTGTCATAGTCCATACCTCTGGACCTTATAACAGGACGGGAACGATGAGGAACTTGTAGAGTTTAGTTTTCGTTCGTCAGGAAGGTCTTTAGTTTTCAATTGCCTGCTCGGTCCAAATTAGCACCTGTTGGCAAGAAAGATTCTGCGCTGAATTACAAGGCTGACGTTATTATTGGTGTTAATGCTGGTTCCTAGATAAACGAAATTATCTACGATTTCAAAGTTATGACAGTCAACAGTGATATGAGAGCTTAGTCGCAAATGCGATGACTGTTTGTTTAATGACAGGAGATATTTCGTCTTGTCCTCGTTAGCTACCCGACCCATTCGCTTCGCTTCTTCATCAAGCCTGGAGAAAGCAGAACTAATGGCGCGGTTGTAGAAGCCGATAATGTCAATATTATCGACGTACGCCAGTAATTGTTCGCTCTTACAGAAGAGTGTGTCTTCTCTATTCAGCTCCGCAGCTCTTATTATTCTCTCCAGCATCAAATTGAAGAAATGTTTGAAACCTGGTTTGGTACCGAACGGCTCGGAGAGGAATGCGCTTCTGGTGTTGTCTAGCGTCAGCTTACACAGCCGTGTAAGTTTTGAAGGGATACTAAATTCAGACATAGCGGCATACAGACAGCTCCAATTCGTGCTGTTGAAGGCGGCTTTAAAATTAACGAAGAGGTGGTGAGAGTCAATCCTCTTTTCACGAGCCTTTTCCAATGTTTGGCGCATGGCGAATATTTGGTCAATGGTTTACTTACCAGGTCTAAAGCCACACTGATGAGGTTCAATCAGTTTGTTAACCGTGGGCTTCAGTATATGTATGTATAATAAAAGCTTTTGTACTGAGTGGCTGACGGATCAATCAATGCACAGCTTTAGCCAGTAGTTGTAGATACCTGAAACTTGAAGGGTATTTTTTGCAAATGAGATCTCAGGCCCTAGGCCAATTTATTAGAAAATTTCTATTTATCCTCACATTTACTTAAATTTTGCCACAGAGTACTAGCTTTGGCTCGAAATTCATATGGAGAAAACTTTTTTATCCTGGAAGTGGGTCTGGATTGAGTTAATGGTTCGGTTTTGCATCATATCATACTCGTATATGGAACAAACGTATATGTAGGCGACTATTTACCAAAGTTACTAAGTCCAGAACTTTTTTTCTGAAAGTAAACTCGGAACCGATCTCTTTCGTCTCAGGTAAAATCTAATGTGTGTACCGCTAAGTGGGCAAAATTATGGGTAATTCGCGAAGAAGTTTGAAATTCGAAATTTGTTTGCTTAAGGGTCAGATTGTTAAGATTAATGAAAATACTCCAGAGCTCTCGATACGGTTACGAGGCAGACAACCTGATTTTTATCCACTGTAGATCGATATACCTCATCGTACCAGTACGTTTTCTGGTATTAACGAAAACCAATTGCTTGCGTAGTGTTGTTGCCCAGTGTTTTTAGGTCTTTTTAGGTCTTCGGAACGTGAGCACATCTAGAACGGAAATCTGGTCCTAAAAACAAACAGCGAAGTCGATCAGCCTCAGCAGGTTTGGGTATATTACGTCGTGCACGATAAAATTCTCGACCGTTATGCCAGAAATACCTTCTAAGGCAATCCGGCGTTCATGTCGCCAAACACTATTTTGACATTGTGCCGCGCGCAGCCCTCACAGGTTCAATCTAGATGCTCATATGAGATCCCATTGTGCTTCTTTTCCGTCGTAGAGTTTCGTAAATCAGTGATATGTTGAAAAATTTCGCTCTGGTATGGATGGTGGCTAGACGTTCATCCGCCGGGGTGAATCCCTCCTTTATCACACTTCTTTGACGGCGGTGACGTCAGTCTTTATTCTTACAAGGAACTTAGCCAGCTGAGCAGCGGCAACTTCCCAATTAAGGGATCGAACACTCCGTATGTATGGCCTCACGCCATGAACCTTGAAATGTTTGCAGAGTTCTTGGGTCTATCATCCAAGCTTTCCAATAGGCGTCATGCTCGACGACTTACTGCACTTACTTAGTTCATGAAATAATAATGGTCATGCAGCTTGACTTAATATATTGAACTTCCTCGACACGTGATGAGGATACAGCAAAGATAATTGTTAGGGTTTTACTGAACTAACTGCCAATTGGGACATTTGTTGAGAGGGCAATAACAAAAAGCTAAACATTTCAAAATAAAAATTTCTAACGATATGTCGCAGTAGCCGAGCGGTTAGTTCCTTCTTCTATGCGAAGGGTTATGGCTTAAAATGCTCATCATATCAATATACAGAATTATAGAAAAGATGGCTGTATTTGCAGTCGCCTCTCAGCAGGGAATTTCAAACCCACTATAAGCCTCTCAGAGGAAGCTTTGAGAAAACTGTAGACTCACAACGGAAATTCGAGGAGAAGCTCGGCCGAAAAAAAAAATTTCAACGGTAGAAAGGAAGAAAGGGTAGAGCCGTTAAAGAATGGGCGTGCATATCTTCTTATAATTGGGTCCTTATACATATGTATGTGGTTTTGCGCCTTGGTGTGGACCGAAAATAGAAAAATTATTTTCCGATGTTGGTCGAAGCAGAACTCGCACCCTAGTCTTCCGTATGGCAGTATCCAATATTAAACATTCCGCTATTGAAGCCTTCCTCTACAAGTATTGTACGCAAATATTTAATATACATTTTTTTTTTACTTCTTTCATTCGTTGTTTTGTGAACTGAAATTCTCGACTAGCTTAAAGAAATTGGATATTATATATAAATTTGATTCGTTCTACAACTTTATTACATTAAATTAACATAGTTATTATATTTGTCTCAAACAGGAATGTACACTCGATAAAATGCGAACTACCGATACATGGCTATTCGAATTAAATCGATTCGCTTATTTCGATACTGGCATTAGAGATGGACCGCTTATGAACTGCCAAAAAGTAGTGGCCAGAGATCGTAAGTGAAGTATCAACGATTTATGTTTAATTTTTACATTAATTATGAATTAAAATAAAACAGATTTTTAACACTGAATTGCCACATAATATTTACCGTTCTCTATAGCACGTAACAGCAAAATGGTCACGGCACGATTCTGTCAATTGGATACCGCCGATTCGGATGCTTGCCAAATTTTGGGCACCAAATTGGGTTGGCCACCAGAGTTGGCGCGCAATGCGAATAAAGATGAGGAGGATAAAGACAAGAAGAATGCAAATAAAAGGAAAGTGATGAACGGTAGACATGGCAATAATGGTGGTGGTGGTGATGGTGAACAAGATTTAGAGTTGCATTGTTCTATTTGCCATTCGGACGGCTGTAATGGCAGTGAAAATGTGCAACAATGGAATACGTGGTGTAACAGTATTTTACCATTGCTCATAGCTGTAATAAGCCGGTTACGTCATAGTGCGTGGTGAATATAGAAACCAGCTGATGTTGCTTACTTTTAGACTGTCGTGGTGTAGTACAGAGAAAGTGGAATGAAATATAAAATTAAGTTAAATTATTAGCAGTAAAATACTGTTAAAAAAAATGGTGCAATATAATTTTAAGGTTAAGTTATGTGAGTCACAAGTGTCGCTCAACAATATTTTACCGTTTCATGCGGAGCTTGATTGCTGAGCACAACACTGAAAAATGCCTTGAGTTTAGCGTATTTTTTATTAGATTTATTTAAGGTGAATTGATGAGTCGTTACATATTAGGGTGTGCACTGTAAATAAACATTCGTCGTATATTGTTAACTGTGTAAATAAGCATTAAAAAACATACATACATATGTAGCTTCATATTTAAGTCGAATTTGGCGAGAAATTAAATCGAAAGCGCATGAAAAAATAATTTATTAAATCTGAACAATTTATGATAAGAAAATCCAACGTACTTTCAAGTTAATTTTTATTTTTCCATTTGCTTTCTACAAAAAAAAATTATTTTCAATAAAAATTATTATTAAGAAATAATAATAAAAAATAATGAAATTTATTTATATTTATATAAATATCATGATGTAATACGCTTTGTAAACATTTTGTCAACGCTCGCTTTAAACATTTGATATAAATTATATATGCGTAAATATACATACATACATATAAAGAATAAAATAATAAAAATCTATAAATCTATGTATTTCTAGTATAAAAAAGTAGGAAAAAATCATGATATTCAAAACATTAAATGAATTAAGAAAATAACCGAAAAGAGTTGAAAATAATTTGTTATTTAAACCGAATTAATCGATTTATTTTAATTTATTTCTTAATTTTTTTTACTAAAATTAAAAAACTAATGAAAATAAAATAAAAATTAATTAAATATAATAGTGGAATTTAATTATAAATTATAAACAGTAATATTCACCAAATGCCTTTAAGTTTTTTAAGAAGTAAATGAAAAAAATATTAGTAAATGTGTGTGTGTGAAAAAATAAAAAAATTTAAAAATAAATGACAAGCAAAAAAATTAAAAAACGTTGTAAAAAAATATTTAAATGTTTATTGTTGTAAATTGAGCAAGTTGCAATGGGAAAGAAGGGGAAGAGGTGAGAAAAAAATTGTAAAAAAAATTAATATATGCAGTAAAAATGGGAAGAGAATGTATAAGAAAAGATTTCAAATCACAAAACACAGAGCAATGTGCAAGACAAACATCAAAAAATGTAAAGTTAAAAATCAAAAAAATAAAATAAAAATAAATAAAAAGTAGTAGTTAATATTGGTTGTTGAATGTGGGCAAGGCAATAATGTTATAAGGCCAACTATTAAAGTGCAAGCTGCAAGTAACTAGTAAATAAGTATGCAACAGAATGTGCACTGAAAAATGCAATATACATATTAGTGAATAATAAACGCAAACCAAAATTAAGAAAAAATTAAAAATCATAAAATAATTAAATTAATTTAAAATTAAAAAAATTAAATTTAAATTAAAAAATATAATGAAAAATATAATTTAAATAAAAAAGATTAATTAAAAAAATGAAAATAAATACCAAATTACCAAAATATAATAAACAATTGATAAATATGAAAATAATAAATTTTCCACTTAAAATAATATAAAAACAATTAAAAAATATTAAAAATATATATACATATGAATGTAACGAAGTAATTAATCTAATAAAAATATTATTTAACATTATAATTACAAAATTAAGTAATAAGGGAATTAATAAGTTCTAAAAAGATTAATAAAATAATTAAAATATAAAAATATAATACACATTTAAATAAAATGAGTTTTAAAAATAATAATAGAAATTAAAATATTTAAAACACTGTAACACACAATTAAAAAATACAAAATAAATGATAAAAAAATAAAAATAATTAATAAAAAATTTTGATCCACGGTGTAAACTCAAATTTGCGGAAAAAAGTAATGAAAAAAAGTTAAAAAAATTAGAAAATATGAAATAATATAAAAAGTTATTTAAGTAATTAAAAAAAATATTAATATGAAAAAATTATAAGAATTTATCCAAATACTAAATTAAAATATTTAATTAAAAAAATAAAAAAAATATTGTTTCTATAGAAGATAATGCTGATGATAATTTTCATATTAACTAAAAATAATTGAATATATGTTTAAAAAAAATTTAATAAAAAAAATTTAAATACAAAAATAATGCATAATGAATAAAATAATTAAGACTAAAAAATAGTAATCGAAATTATAATTTAATTTAGTCGAAAGAGGATGTTAAGAACCTGACCCCAAGCGGCCGCACCTAAGCGTGTAAGTAAGGTTTTTGAGTATGGTTATTGTGCTTCTCGGCTTATCTCAACTATGCTCTTGCCAACGGTTCGCTCGATATAATAAATTGTTTCAGTTTCTTCCAGCCATGTGACCCCAACACCGTAAGGTCTACTTGTTAATGCTCTATACTCTTCATAACCTAGCTTTCGGGCATGATATCTTAGGGGTAGATTCTCTGTCAGTATACGAGTGCCTACGAGTATGTTAAGCTCTCTTTTGCTTAGTGCTAGCAAGAGTTTGATCTGTCAGCATTATAACATCGTGATAGCATCGCAAGCACGAAAAAACTCATCCATCTTTTCATTACATCCTACACTCGTGTGATCTGGCGCCGCAGTGATTTCCATGACCCTCTGTTATTATCTCTACGTATGTTCTCACATACTCACACTTTGGGTTGACACACTTAATAGCCTTCCTTAATTGCCGCTTGACTGTATAACAAAAATCTGATAGGTTTTCCTCTTAAAGATGCCATATGGGAGATTGTGTAATGACTAAAGTCTCCGCTTGTTGGACAGAGTTATAGTCATTTAGTTTGATGCTATCATAGCTCTTGTGTCAGCCATCAGTACATATAGATGAGGATATCTTCGGCATTATTGATAACCTTGCCTGTTAAGGAAGCAGGAGGTTTCCTTTACTCGGTACCACTGCACGTTTAGCCCGAGTTCTTTTACAGCACTCTGAATGCTGCTATGTCCTTCACACTTGGTGGTCTAGACCCAACTGTCTACGATTTATAGGCGGCTAGCTGCTAGGGCTGCTTAATAAGTCCCTTGTATATTAATTGGCCTGATATCGAAAACGGCTTACAGTGCCTTTGTTGAGGTATCTCTCATCATGGCTGCTATACCAAGTAAACACGTACGTTGCAAGCGGTCCCGAAGGCAATAAACTACTTCTCTTGTCAGCCACCATATAAGCGATCCATACGTTAATATGTATCTTAAAACACTTATGTAAGGCCAATGTACCAGACTCGAAGCGCTTTTTTGGATCTACTGCCCATATCTTTCCTTCAACCAAGACTTTTATATCAAAAACTACTCGAGATACTTGACCGAATTGGAGGGTGACTTCATTTGGTGAGTTTTCAGCACATCTAGCTGCAATTAAAATTGCACGTTCTATTAAAACAACAACCAAAAAATTATGAAAAAAAAATTTAAAAAAATGATGAAAAAGTTATAGAATATTTACAAAATAAAATAAAATAATAAAAAAATTGACATAAAATAACAGAAATTAAAAAATTAATAAACAAAAGTAAAATGAAATAATTAAAACATTACTTATGATATAAAAAAATTACTCTTAAAATAAAAAAAATTTAAAGTTAAAAACTTTAAATTAATATCTAAATCAAATTGACAAAATTAATAAACAGTATAATTAAATTAAATAATATAATAAACAAATTCCTAAAATCAAAAATAATTTAAAATATTATGAAATATTATTAACAGAGATAAAAATTATAATTAAAACAAACACCTTAATATTAAATAATAAAAAAAGTTGAAAAAGGAAACAAATCATAAATAAAATAATTAAAATATTTTTCTAAGATATAAAGTAAATATCTACTAAAATGGGAAAGAGAATTTAAACTGAAAAAAAAAGAATTTTAAATAATAGAAATGAATATGTATTTGTCTGTAAAATAATAATTGTTTTATTATTTCTTTATTTACAATAAATAAATTTAATAAGCTAAAACATTGAAAAAAATTAAAATTAATAAACAGAATAATTAATAATAAAAAATATAACAAAAAATATTAACATAATAAAAAATAAAAAAAAATTTAAAAACTCAATAAATAAGTAAAAGTTATAAGTTCAGTAAATAAAATAAAATTTAAAAAATAATAAATAATAAAAATTAAAAAATACAAAATAATAAAATAACACATAAAAAGTTTAAGAACTAAATGAAATAATAAAAAATTATAATTAACAAAAAACTTTACATAAAAGAATAAAAAGTTAAGATTAAAATAATATTAAAAATTGATGTGGTTTCGCAAATGCTTTGGTTTTCAATAAAAAGAAAATACACAAAAAAAAAATTATATGCTTATTCATCTAAATACACATACACACATATATATAATATTATATAATGACTGAGATGCCGAAGCAAGCTTACATACAAACATAGAAACTACAACTGAGCCCATTCAAATTACAACCATTGATAATGATAAGAAAATACATTGTTTAGTATGTACATATGTATGTACGAAGTGCATATAAAGCACGTGTGCAATGCAAATGGTGAAAACATAAAAATGGAATTAAAAAAAAAAAAAATTTAATAAAAAAAAAATATAATAAAAATAACAAGAATAAAGAGAAGAAACCAGCTATACAAAGTAAAAGTGGCAACAAAAAGCGAAAACAACAACTGAAATAGTAGCGCTTTTTAAAACAAAGCAAAGCGGAAATTAATTAGAGACAGAATTTTTTTTTAATTCTTTTTCTCTATTTTTATTTTTTTATTTTTGTTTCCCTGTGAGCAACCAATTAAATGCAAAAGATGTATGAATCATGCTATAAAATGGTATGCCATTAGAAATAAATGTTAAAGTGAGCCATTTAAGTGTATGAAAATTTGAAGAAACAGCAAACAAAGAACTATTTAAAATATTTAACTGATTGTGCCATGTTCTTTGGGTGAAGTCAATAAAATATGGCAAGCAATTAAAATCATAATGAAAAACCGCAAAAGAATTATTTCAATAAACAAAGAAAAATATAAATAAGTTACTAGCATAGTTATAAAAGTTCAGTGTTAACAATTCATAAAAGCATACATACTTACGTACGTATATAGTAAAATGCGGCATATATACACTTATACACACACATACGAGTATAGTACTACCAAAATATTGACCAAGTAAAATCGTCTGCATGTTTTCGTAGGAACAAAAGAAAACAAAAAACAAAAACACAATTTGAATATAGCAAAAAACATAGAAAATTCAACTTTGTAATAATAATTAAAATAGCAGTGGAAAAATAGTAGCAAAGTAAATAAATTACATATATGCTAGCAAACATTCTTGCTTACACTACATACATACATACATACATATATGTGTATTTGCTAAAGTCTATGGTCACGAAAATTTGCTATGCCTGCGGTAGTGTTTGCATAATTTTTTGTACTTTTTTTTCAGCTATGTAAATCAATTTGGGAAAAGTAAACTTTTTGCTTTTCAGAACGTAAATTTGTTTGCTGATATCTCCTTATTTGTATCACAGTTCATGTCCATGTATACTATATAAGATAAATAAATTTAAAAAAAAATTTGTGAACAAAAATTTGCAAAATATTTATTGTGAAGGCATCTCCATCGCCATCTTCCGAAAAATATTTATATCAACAAAAGTACTACAATTACACAAAGCAGCGCAAGAAATCTTGTAGTTACAGCATATGAATAAAAAATAACTCATTGTAGACCGGTTGACGTATTAACATAAATCTTCTTCTTCTTCTCTGTTGGTTGTAGATACTGCTTACGTCTTCTCGCTGTTTGACGCCAATCGGAAGTAGCAAGAGCAGTCTGGTCCTTCTTCACTTATTCTTTTAAACGCAGTAGAGGTTTTCCTCTTCTTCTGCTTTTGCTATCGTGTTTTCATCCATCCGGACAACATGACCTAGGCGCTGTCTTTTGTTTCGATGATTTCCATATGTCAATGTCGCCGTATAACTCGTACTCGATGACCTCATCGTTACATCCATCCTATTGAGCAAAGGAGCATAAGTCTTAGGCAAAACCTTTTTCGCAAAAGCCCCTAAAGTTGACTCATGAGATGTTGTAATCATCCAGACTTCAGCACAATATAGTAGAGCGACGAAGATGAGTGATTTATAGAGTTGAGTTTGGTCTTTGTTCGTCGAGAGAGGATTTTACTTCGCCTGCTCAGTGCAAAGTAGCATCTGTTGACAAGAGTGCGTCTGTGTTGGAATGTTGTTGGTGTTTATCAACAGTGATGTGAAAGTCGCGTGAAGAAAGCAATGACTGTTCTTTTGATGACGGGAGAAAGCGGAAGCATTACGCGGTTGTTGAGGGCAATGTAGACTCTTATAGAAGATTATTACTTCTCCATTCAACTGTAAAGCCCGCAGTATTTTCTCAATCGCAATAGATCAAAGAAGTCACCTTGCCTGAAATTTCGTTTCGTAGCGATATCTACTCGAACATTTCGTCATAATCGAACAATGAGACATCTCTAACATAGCGTTCGGTTAGTGCATCGGGTTCGCCATCTCCTGGCGTTTCATTTTCACTGTCACTGACACACAAGCTGACGAAATATTCAATCCATAAATTTAGTATACTCCGGGCATTAGTTGCTACATCAGCTCTCTGGGTCCTCTAGGATTATACGATCGTTACCCTTGTTGAACTCTTCATAATCACCCATTTCGTTTTCTTAATTTTTTTTTGTCTGCCCAACTTTGCGAGGTAGCCAGGAATACCCTCAACCTCCAGCTATTATTTTGTCCTTTCCGAAACCCATTAGTTTGGCTTATCAATTTGCTGATGAGTGTTCGCAAAGAACACCGTTATTCTGAAAGACGTTCTCTGCAGCTAGTATGATTTTGGACCGAGTCGATATTGAATCCTCGGAGCGAACGTACGTGAGGAGTACTGGAGATATGTCGTTCCTTTATCATAGCATGATCGTTTTTAGATCCTGTGACACCTGAAATCTAGTACTGCAGACAACATCATTTCGAGCCCATTTGGGGATGTAATTTTCACCTCAGCACTAAGTTGAATGTCTTGGCTTTGATACGGATTGTGGCGAGAGTTAGGTGACATCAACCAGCTGCACGGAGACACTTTCTTAATTAAGGGAGCGGACCTTTCATGTGCATTCCATCAAATCATTGTACTTAAGAAGTTTTTCTTTGGAGCCGGTTTCTATGTGGCTCTAGATTAACTTAGTTTTGTTTTATTAACTTAATATAAAAAAATACTATCTCGCCCATAAAACTTAATTATAGAAAGGAAAAAAAATATTCTTAAATCTGTTCTACACTTAAGCAGTTGTAGTGAGCGTATTATACAAAAAAAAAATATTACACATTTACTCGAAACATTCCCACAGAATTAAGCATGAATGTTCATATGTTTACATTGTTATATACTTAAAAACAAAACATAATGAATTTAAAATGTTAAGAATGAAATAAAAATATTTTTGTTAAAAATTAAGGCAAACAGAAACCAAAAACCATTTTTTTCTTAAAAAATATATGTTAAAAATGTTTTTATTTTTTACATTACATATATGTATGTATTGTATATATAAATTAAAGCTTTTTTAAATTATGTAAAAATTAACTAACTTTTTTTTAGACAAAAATAATTCTGATATCACTCGAAATGAAAATTTAAAAAAAAATATTTTGAATAAAATTAGTAAAATTTACATAAAAACTCATTAATTCAAAAAAAAAAAAAACTCATCAAAAATTGCAAACATATTGACGTAAATGCAAATATTAGCAATTACTACAGACATTGAAACAATAAAGTAAACCATATTACAAAAACAAAAGAAATTTTGTTTCTGTTTTGTTGTTATTTTTAATTGAAAAATCAGTTGTAGTAAAAAGAAATCCATTATTTTTGCATGAAATTGAATAGTTAAATTTCTTCTTTTCATATCCCGCCTTAATCAAATGGTTCCAAACGGCGTTTGTTTTGCAATCTTCAGCACTTGGGCAATGAAAACAGTGCTTACATGATCGTCGGACTCGCCAAGGTCCGTGATTTTATCGACATTTTTAACAATTGACCTTCCATAAATCATCTTTTAGATCAAAATTACCGGAATGATACCAAAATTGTGTATGATTGACTGTAACAGTATCAGGACCATAAACGCTATTCACATTTCCAGCCGACTGGCCTCTGTTTTCGCCCTCATCGAAGAAAAGCTGTAAATATAGCTCTTTGTTGTGACTATCTTTGACCAGCGTTCAAACAAAACTGAATCAACCAATCACAAAGCTGAAGAAAAGATTTTTTATTACGAAGTGTCATCTTTCTAACGCCATCTGACGTAACCGACGATCGGGCTTATACAACGCGAAATATAGATAAATAACGCCATCTAATGGAAAAATAATGGATTTCTTTTTGCTACCCCTAATACTTGAATAAGTTGGCTTATGAGTCCAAATAGTCCGCACTCTATTTGGAGTTATAACAAGTTTTATGGATTTATGAATCATCTTCATATTGTCATCGTCCATGCCTCCACAGCATATAGAAGGTCAGGAATGATAAGTGATTTGTAGAGTTTGGTTTTCGTTCGTCGAGAGAGTACTTTACTTTTCAATTGCCTACTCAATCCAAGGTAGCATCTGTTGATCCGTCGTTGGACTTCCAGTATGGCATTGTTCTTGGTGCTAATGCCGGTTGAAAGTAAGAAAACTTATGTACGACAGCAAAATAATGACTGTCAACAGTGTGACGTATGAGCCGAATCGGAAATAAGATAGAGAGGCGTGGCAAATTAGCGTGCGAAATGCACTCGGGTTGCGAGGGATGCCTTAAAAGCTACTGGAGTTACAGAAATTAACCATCCACCCTACAGTCTGGACCGGGCTCCCAATCACTTTTTCCTTTTAAATCCTAAATTTAAAAAAGCAGTTTCGGTGACGGAGATTTTCAAACAGGCAGGCAGTGAGATGAAAACAGCCGTAGAACACCATTTTGAAGAGAAATTTGAAGAATATTTTTTCAGCAGTATAAAGGCTTTGTATTCACTATGTGAAAGGTGTATTTCACTTAAGGGAGACTATACTGAAAAATAAAAAACAAAAAACTATAATTTTCTTTATTAAGTACTTTAGGCCGCGAACTTATTAGGCACCCCACGCATGTAGACTTTGCCATAGTCGCTCGTCTTTCTTGTCTTATATTCAAATCTATTTTAAGCAGCTTGCGTAAAATTTCCAAAAATACTATTGAACAGGTATGAGCAGAACTCAAGTAAAATATTTTGCGAATCATGCAAACAAAAGCTGTCATATTTGAGCTCATAAGTATACAAGCAGGTACATATATGTACTTACTGCACTGCAATTATCACAGATAATGGCAATTTTTTAATTTTCTTCTACAACAACCGACCAATCAATGGGAATCTCAACTGCAAAAGAAAAAAAAAAACAAACAAAAAATTTCCATAGAAGACTCGATAGCATCTACTTTTCGGTAAGGAAAGAAACCGAAATCATACAAAAATTGTTGTTGGAATGAAGAACTTGTCACCTTAGCTACCAAATTGTGGCTGCAAAATAAAAACGAATAATAATTGAAATCAAAAAAGTTTGCTACTTTTCTTGTATCAAAGCAAAATTGAATGTTTTAGGCATCTTTGTTAGTGTAATTCTTTGTTTTGGTATTTTTGTCTTATTTTTAATTTCCAATTTTAACTATCAACAAAAGAATTGCCGAAATATTGTGCAATTGAAATTTTAATTCCAATTGTTTCCCTTTAGTTTTAACAGTAATTTGTGAAAGTACAGTTCGTTTTACTCTCGACTACGCAATTTTCGACATAATTACTTCCTCTTAGGGGGTGTGTTTGAAAATAAAAAATCTGAGTCCTTCGATTTATTGAATTAATCTATTATTTATATAATTATACTGTTATATTGTGAAAAAGTGAAAAAAAAAAATATGAAATATGTTGGAAAGTATTAGAAGTGTTTTAATTTTGATCATATTTGCTGTGCTTTTGGGCATTTACTCTACAGAAGGTAGGTCAAATTTTAATTCTTCCAAAAATTCTTGAAATCTGTAATACAGCTTAATAATAAAAATTACACTTGAAATCTTGAATAGATTAATATTATTATTTTCTAGACCAAAAATATGCAACTGATATATTTTTTACCATGAGAAAATTTTCGAATTCTTTTAAGAACTCGTTAATTTTTTTGACACCTCCACTCCACTCTTTAACAGAAGACAAGTTTATCTATACCCAGATTCATGCTTTGATTAAATTTTTTTTTAATTTGTTATTGACGTCTTCACTACTGGATATTAGTACGAGTACTCACAAAAAATACCAGATGAAATGAAGAGCTTCCGAAAGCTACAACTGATTAAAATCTGGAATACTTCAGCTATGGATGAATATTGTTTTTGAAGAACCGTATAATTATATTTTTCTTAGGTGGACTTTCCATTAATAAGCCACTGACAAGATTGCCAAGATGTGATCACGAGGTTAGGTTACCTCGAAAGGGGTTGAAGCATTATTATGAGAAGTCTTAATATTCAATCATCACAAAAAAAAATTCACAAACATGGCTTTCTCTCTTCAATCCACAATTCCTTTAGTGATAGACGTATACAATTGCTTTTTTATTCATTCTTTGAGGAATTTACTATCGTACATAATCTGACGGATTAATGCATATCTTGGACTGCCAATGGTAGAGATCTAAAATCTGAGACACCACTCATATATATAACATATGATGATAAAGGGTTTCGAAATTCCACCCCTAAGATGGTGTACGGGCGAACCTAATGTAACGATATTTGAGCGCGATGAACAACGAATCGACTTTGTTGAGCGAACTTTGCTTGCTTAACATTTTGAACATAGATAACACTTTGTTTAGTAAAACATTAGAGAGAAAACTTTTCTATCCACGAAGTTCAGTAGGGATTAGTCTATTCGAAAATATTGTATTTTTGACTCCGATTTGCCAGCTTAAATTCAATGGAGTATTATTTTGCTATAGGGTCTACGTGCCGAAAACTGCAGACCAAGATTATTTAATTTTACTTTTTTTATTTTATTTTACATTATTATTTTATCATATCATATTTTTTTGATTACTTTATTTTATTTCAATATTTTAGTTTTTTTATTTTCTTTTAATTAATTTTTATACCATTTTATTTTGTTTTACTTTATTTCATTTCATCTGTATTAAAATTGATGTTCTTTTATTTAATTTATTTTATTTTATTTTATTTTATTTTATTTTATTTTATTTTATTTTATTTTATTTCATTGATTGAGTTTTTTTATATTTCTTATATTTTTATTCTAAGTTGTTTTATTTTATTTATTCATATATGATTTTATTTTATTTTGTTTTTGTTTATTTTTTATTTAAATATTATCTATATAAATGAAGATTGAGTGATTAAAACTTTTATAGAGGTGTGATTTTAAACAAATTTAAAAGCTCCGCCCCTTCAAAAAAAAAATAATAAAAATAGAATTTCTAATGTTCAATGAGACCATTGGTTTTGATTAAGTTTTGCGTAATAACAGGGAATTTGCATCAATGTACATTTATTTTGGCATGTTCATATGCATATATCTATAGTTTATCGACTAATATTCGCGTGCGTGCATTGGGAATTGTAACAGTATCAAGGCTGATAAGAATGACGCCATTATTTTTATATTGGTTTTAGTCCTATCATGTGCAAATATTACTATATTCAATTATTTATATATATACGTGTATATATATCGAGCCTAATTAAATATATATAAAAACATTACCATTACATAACAGCAATATCAGCTCGCTCGAATATTTAATAATTTTTTCTCTTTTGCGTTTATTTTTATTTGTTAAAAGAAGATATACATTTATTGATAAAGTATGTATGTACTAAAACACACACATGTAATTTGTGCGTTGCACCCTCCATTCTTTAGTCATAGCTAAAATTTCTAGAAATTTTGGACTTTTTTTTTTGGCAGGTGCGCCTGTTAGTCAGAGATAGAAGGTAAAACTGAAAGTGCAGAAAAAAATACAATATTTCTGTTAATATAAGTTTGTATGAAAACGATAAGAGCCAAAATAGATGCGATATCTACGATAAGAAGCCCACAGACTTCTAGTCTACTGGAGAATGTTATACATATACATGCAAATTAAATAATACTTAAAAGAATTCTGAATTCTGAAGATCAAATTTTCGCTAAAAAATTACTAATTTTTACAAATGTTTAAAACCAATTAAATTTAAAAACAAAAACCATTTCTAGAAAGGTAGAAGGTACGCATGACATGGAAACTTCTCTTCCAAAAATTCACACAGAAAGTCATGTCTACAGTTGTGATAAAAATTATAGATTAAAACATGGAGGGGCTGCCCAAAAGGAACAATATCTGCACGCGGTGTCGACAGTCTCTTGCAATGGACCTATAATGAGCCGAGCAAGAACAAAATAACGTCTGAAACCTCTCAAATAATCACCCCTATGAATAACTCCAATAATTGCCTAAGAAATCACACTCACTTCTTCTTCTGCTCCTTAAATGGCATAATCACCGCTTACGCGATTATAGGCGAACAAATTGGAAGCAATGAACTAAAGGCAAATCCTTCTGCCTTTGAACTTTTAAACGGCGTGGTGTTTCTACTCTCAAGTTCTTTTTTTTTATAGAATTCCTTTTTGTTTTTGAAGAATTAATTTTTCTGCAAGTTCAATCTAAAAAAATACTGAATACTTTATTAAGCTCTCAAATTGAGTATGTGGAACTAAAGCACTCACTCTTTTAGCCGTGATCCAAGACTTCTCACGGTTTGGTTAATGTGTCACGCACAAGGGTTAATCTGGGTGTGAGACGGAGATCCAAGAGAAGAAATTGAGTATAATATTGATATCGTGGTGCATACCGAGACGCAGGACTACACAACATTGCAACTCAATCGCACTCATTTGAGCTGCGCTCAAGTCCTGAACTTAAAGTTTCGACTGCAGTTGCAGTTTGTATCCCGAAAAGATTGCATGGAAACACCGACCTTTACCTAATTCAAAGTTTTTAAGAATAAATTCTTCTCACGATTCATAACGAAATTTTGTGTTCTTTGAATGGATTGCTCAGAATTGTCTTAGATCTCTAAGCATGGACCAGTACTGAGATCATTTTACTTGGTTTTGTTACCGCTCTTAAAAGTGTTCTTTTTAGACCAAAAGTGGTATTGATACAACAAAAGAGTAATATATTGAGGCTCTTCTAGGCTTTCTTATTCATTCGTAGAGGTTCTTATTACTTTTATAGTAAAGGGACCACCCCATTTTCTTGACAAATTGAAGCACAACAATCTATCTCAGACAACTCTTATAATGGCATAATTCATCACTATTTCCGACTTAAAGTGAACCAAAGAATATATCACTACTCCTCTTGCAACGTTTGTTCGAAGAAAAGCTTACATTTTGACACTCCCTTCAGTTCTCTAAATCTCGTGCCATTGAAAAATTCTCACAACTCTCAGTCCAGTCAGAATAGCTTCATGATTTATTATTTTCCCAGAAGAAAACGCTACAGCCGAGTGCAAATAAACATATGTTTCAACTCCGGCCTGACCAACAGCCCAAAACTTCAGTTTTTTTTGCCAGACGGCTTAATCCCTCCATTCCGAGAAGAAAACCAACCCGGACAACATTTTCTCCATTTCTTTCACTTCTCCCTTTGCTCGTTTTTTTTTAGTCTAAACATTTCTCGAAAAATATCTAACCAAACAATCTCTTATTTTCACTCTCACAGCTCTTCAATGTTACGATTGTTATGACTGCGAGGTTGCTGAAGATCTAAATGAGCTGCAAATTTGTGGCGAGTTTCCAATGAATCCCATAACACGCAAAACAACTACAACCAAAGCAACAACAGCAAGCAACATTTCGAACAATACAACACGAACTCCTGGAAATGATGATGATGATTCGGATGAGCTAAGTGATGAAGACGTTGTACGCAACACGACTTTACGTCCAGGTAATACGATACCATCAAGAAGGACAACAACTGCCACGACACGCCGTACAACGGTGAAAGTTGACAGTGATGAGAGTGATGATTACGATGGGAGCGAAGATGAGGAGGACAGACGTATGCGACAAGACGATGCGGTGTGTTATATGGTGAAATTAATAGGTACAGTGAGGTTGAAGAATTTAAATAACGCTAAGAAATTTTGAAAAATAATATAAACTGTTTTTTTAAATTTCTCATTCCAAGTCAACGACACCATCATTACGAAACGCGGCTGTGCGACAATGATCCGTGGCAATAATGTGCAAACTTGCAAATCGATTAGCTCGGGCTGGAGCATGGACGATTGTCAGCTCTGCGACACGGATGGTTGTAATAAGTTTGCTGATGATGACTTTAGCTGGGAAGCTGCATGGAATGGTGGCGAGCAGTTAGGAAAGGGTGTTTGGTTCATCCTACCGACGGTACTGCTTAAGATCTTACTGTGAGATACACAGAAATCTGCAGAAAATTATTTTTCATATTATTTTAACTATTTGATCACATATTCGTTTAAAAAAATATATTTATCTTTGGAATTTTCAATATTTATCAATAATATAAAAATGCTAAATTATTGAAATTACATTCCAGCACAAGAAACCAATCGAGAAACCAGAGCGGTTAAATCTTCATTTTAAAATTCTAGTTTACCATTACACAATTCATTGGATTTTTTAATTATCTTAGGCTTGGGCTGGGACTCTCCACATAAAAAGGTGATTTATACCTTTCACTGGCTGGGACTCTCCTCGTATCTCGCATGAACAATTGCTGAAACAAGACATTAGTGGAGCCTTTAAATCGAATCTACCGGAGAGTCATCACTGCAGCTTTCTATTTTCTGTAATTCAATGACTTCATACCGGTTGCTTGCTGCATCTCGCAGACGGCTTACTCACGTTTAGTGGTTGGGCGACGAGGTCGTAAGAGTAGAAATTGATCATAGTCTTGCAAGTATCACTTCGTACCCAGAGAGTAAAAATTAAGAATAGAAATCTTCAACAATCAGTTCTCGAGCTAAGTCATAACACAACCTACTCAACACTGATAGGAGCCCACGTAGGAACACACTTACTTCCAATGGACGCTGAACTTCCAACGGAGAAGAGGATTTACTTTGCTTTATCAGATCTTCTATTACTTTTAATCACGTTTACCTCGTGACCATTCCATAAAGCAGCGTCGTTAGACTAAGTGGATAATAGCATCCATTTTTATCGCTCATTACTAGATATTACAAAAAGGGTCTAGAAAACCGGAGTTAGTTGTTCCATATGTAGGAGTCAAGAAAATAAAAGGAATCACAGATAACGGGCTTGTTATCGCATCTTGCACAACGGTTGCTGACGTTTCCAGGGTGCGCGAAGTAGACCCATGAGTACGAATTGAGTATACTCCACGACTGTAAATTCATGCGCAGAAGCTGTACTACGCCCCAATACACCCCTATAAGAATGTACAGCTGCTGGCGTACGTCGATCATATTGACATCTTGACCTCAACAACCACGTTGAGAGTCCTGCTTTAGCAAGACTGGGTAATCAAGCGAAGAATCTGATAGTAAAAAAGGACAAGATGAAACATCTCTTGTCCTTAAACAAACAGTCTTGGCTCCCATATCTCTGCTGACAGTCATAACTTTTAAGTCGTAGATAATTTTGTATAATTTAGTATTAACACCAACAACAATTTCAGCAAATCACTCTTGCCAACAGGTGCTACTTTGGACTGAGTAGGCAATAGAGGAGTAAAGTTTTCTCCCGATGAGCCAAAACCAAACTCTACATCGGCATTAGGAGTTTTCGAGAGAAAAGTTTCAGGTAAGGTTTATGGTGCTCTATGTACAAGTTGAGAACGGCGAATATCTGAGACAATGGAACGATGAGCTGTAAGATGAGCTGGTTAGGTCATGTGGTCCGGATGGATGCGAATACTCCAGATTTGAAAGTTCTCGATGTAGTACCCGCCGGTGGAAGCAGAGGACAACCTCGTTGGAAAGACCAGGTAGGGAACCAGGGACCAGACTATTCCTGGTATTTCCAATTGGCGCCAAGCAGCGAAAAGGAGAAATGATTTTTTCCAGATTAGTTAGTTTACTGTTCAGCGATTGCTGAAAATTTCTTTCGGCTCTCTGGCAAGGAATGGAAAAGAATATTACTTTGAAATTCTGACATGAAATGAAAAAGCTCTAATGAAAATTTGTGAGATATTCGAAGACGGCTCAAAATTGAAGATCCATCGTCCGACTCATATTTATTTTAGGAAATAAAGGATAGATAATGGACAGGTGGGGTTTTCCCTCGGTTGCTTCATTATTTTCATGCCTCAAATCCTGCTCGTACAGCAAGAAATACACTTCTCGAGAGGCTCAAAAGAGTTCCGAGTCTTGCGTCTAAGAATACCGCGACACCTAGCGTTCATAACACGTAAGTATTTTTTAGCAAAAGCAAGTTCCTTCCCAACAGCCACAATGAACTCGAGACATCAATGGGTTAAATGCGAAGTTATTACTTTCTAACAATTTAAATCATTTTGAGCGGTGACTTCATTAACTGAAACAGTATCGAATATCATTTAATACAGCTGTCAACATTCCAAAAACATATAATCAATTACACGTCCAAACATAAATTTCCCGCCTGATATTACTCGCGTATTGATAAGTTCCAAACAACCTGCTATTGACTTGTCGAACGACAGTCGGCAGACGGAGGTCGGGAAACTTACCAATCACAGCATTTGTATTAATAGTGGAAGACGGCAAGGCGAAAGACAGGAGTTTAAAAATTAAATTATTCTCATATGGGTTGACTCGTGTGTTTGTATGTATGTATATATTTATAATTTACGATACCGAAGTCATTAAGCGTAAATGATAAAGATATAAGAATTATTCATATTCTGACATGCAATAAATTGTGTATTTTACGGCAGGTATGTATGTATGTGAGAAATTTATTTTGAAACGTCCCACATCAACTGATCTATAGTTGGGGCGCAGAAACAGATAGAGAGTTTTCTAGATATATCCATTGGATCATGCGATCGCATGCTCATCTGACCAGCATCCGAGACTAAAGAGAAGAAATGTCAACTCCTCCGAGTGTATTCTTGACCTGCATAAAAGCTCATCATAAAAATACAGCAATAAACATTGGTTTACTGACTTTAACCATAGGGACCACAATATCCTTTTGAATTAACCAGAAGTGAAGAAGAAGAACGTGTTAGCTTTATATTATATGAGAAAGTACCATTTTCGGAAAGCTCTGTTCAAAGCTGACGCCGCAGTTGTTCGCTGTTGACCAAAAACAAAAATGTATTGATGATTCTGAGGAGCATTTGGTAATGTTTCAATATGATAGATCAAAATTGTTTGGTCCATATCTAATAATGGTCGGATGAAGAATGGCTTCATTCACTCCGGTAACAAAACGGTAGTCATTTGAGTGGACAGCAACTGAGGAATCACGAGAGCACAACAATCGGCTGGAAAGGTTATGGCCACAGTATTTTGGAATTTAGTGTTGTAATATTCCGCAACTGTCTTAGAGAAGTAAATCACATTAACTGTAATTAGCCTATTACAGCGAAGCCTTTGAAGCCCAAAATAAAGACCGAGGTCTTCGTCAATGATGCCATACATTTCGTACTTCTTATTATTCCAATTCATCAGATGCTGTCGTCGTCCATTCCCGCATACCACATAGTACGACGAGACAGCGGCTTGTAGAGTTTGGTTTTCGTTCGTCGGGAGAGGACTTTACTTTCCAATTTCCTACTCAGTCCAAAGCAGCACCAGTCTGCAAGGGTCTTTCTGTACTTAATACTGTTCCAAGATAGGCGAAATTATCTACGACTTCGATGTTACGACTGTAAGCAGTGACAAGGGAGCCGAGTCATGTGAATGCGAGGACTGTTTGTTTACTACCAAACCCATTTGTAACACAGCCTTATCGAATCTGAAGAAAGCAGAACTGTTTTTGATACCGACATTTCAGTCCTTCGTCGCCCTATTTGATCAGCTCGGCCAGTCAGCTCTCAGCTCGAGCTGCTTTGTTGTGCTTTATACAAGCAATTGCTATTCGGACTTTCTCATAGCCTAGTTAAACAACGTCTGATCGATACAATCGAGTGCAAAAGGGGAATCGGGTTCGCCGTTTCCCGGTAATTTGTGAGCAAGAGCGATGGCCGGAGAACTGTTTCCTCCATAAATTTAGTATTCTTTGAGCATCAGGGGTGTAATGGGCTGCAAGTAAGCTTCTGAGTAAGCAGTTACAGTTGCATTGCTGCACCTAATTCCTACTGTCACATTATGGAAACGTGATCAAAGCTTCTGCGAGATACCCTAATAAACCCGTTAGGCGCCTTGGATTGCGCCATGAAGAGAGAAAGACTTAGTGGAGCTCCTACTAACATATTCGATTAAAGGGTTCACTAAAGACATTATGAAGAGTTGCCACTGAGAGCGATTGTCAGTGCTGAGTTAAGCGGCACTCTATACGAATAAAAGAGTACTAAATCTCGTACAGTTATATAATGGCTTTGAGACCCGTCAATTAGAAACAAGCTTCAACACCAGAGATGAGAGACCGCACCATTGAAGATCTAAACTTGAAACAAAATCGAAAATAATGTTTTGTAGATGCAGCGTTTTTTGTGGGTGAGAAAGACTGTGTACAGGCTTAATAAGCGACCTCAATATTAAGGTTGTTAGTAGCGTTCTTTAAATATCCAAGCTCCATACTTAAATGCTCAACATCTTAGATCCTTGGCACTATCTTAGTCCCTCCTCTATTTTCTTCATTGGACAAGCGTTCACCTCGCTCGCTCTGCTTTCAATATTTCGCATACTTTTACATCGGAAGATATGTCTCAAAGCAACCTAGTCAGTACCGCCCATCTAACTGTTTCCATGTGTCGAGTAGATTTTATATCTGGTTTTTGGAAAAAGACACCTTTGAGGGTTATTCTACTGAAAGGTTATGCTGCTGACTCAGCTGACTCAGCAGTATACCTTGAGTACTTGCGTTCCTCTTTAAAAACCTTTTCAATCTTTTATGTGGATCCATATCTTTGACAGTAATTTACACCTAACTCAAGTAAACCACTTCATCTACTATAGACACGAACAACATTCATCGGAGATAAAATTACAATAAGTACAACGGTATCTATATCATACATACACACAAACTTATGGGCATACGCCGATTGACCACTTAAACTACTCGTACATCTTTACATGCATACCACATACGCGTATGTACTTCGTGCTATCAGTTGAGAACATCAGCTGCTAATCGATCGATAACTTCAAAATATGTACATATACATACAATACAAATTTACTCCACCAACACATACGCATGAGCATGAATACGTTTTGCTGTGATTTTCAATTTCTTACCCCAACATGTGATTATGCTTGCATACATATTTATACCCTTATGATGGAAATCGTTTAAATATTAATAAATTGATA